ACTCAGACCTTTCCAATGATATGTTTTTTGTCAAGATTATAAAAAGTTTTGATTCTAAAAGACCGTAATGCATTTTGTAATATGACACTTGACACCACCCACTAAGGGGGAGGAGACCGCTAAAAGATTTTAAAGTACCATTTCCATGGAAACGCAATGTCTGGGTGGACAGGATGAATCTTGGGCTTCTAAGCTTTCAAATGATATATGATTTATGATGATTACTAAAAGATTTGATAGAGAAAAAGGACAACAACAAAAAAGAGCGCCAAGCGTCCCACAGGTGGGACGGTGACAGTTAAGGGGTCACTGGGATTAAGTCACATGAGTCATAGATGTTGTTCAAGTCTAACACAATTAGATCACACAACACCACTATTCTCTTTTGTTATGAAGCTACCTGCTTTCTCTAGACAACCTAGTATCTCTAGAATGCCACATTTACCACAAACCAAGCATTTCTGACATCACCATCATGATATGCACATTCAGGTTTTAAATGAATTTTTACAGCAGCTATTTTTTTTCTTTCAAAGAATCAGCTGAGAGTATGTGTATTCAAAGCAAAGTTACGCCACTGTTCAAAATTCATAAAAGTTGTGTTAATTTGTGAAGATTATCATGATGAGCAAAACTGTGTAAGAATCACAGAGCTTTTGTTAATCACAGAGCTTATTTTCTGCAATAATCCAAAAGCCAATGGAAAAAATTTTGTAGAGGGAAACAGGATGATGCTAACTTACAAGTTGACCTACAAAAATATGTCAATCCTATAGCACTCTATATTCTGTATACTCTATAATTGAGTATGTTCTCTGTCTGTAGCTAAGGACTATGTGGACTCTGATCCTTCTGGACGTCATGGGCTGCCCATCACAACCATAAAGCAGGGGGCCGAGCCCCCGACCTTCACAGGCTGGTTCCAAGCTTGGGACCCAAATATGTGGGACACTGATCCTCTGGAGAGAATCCGAGCTCGCTTTTAAACCCAGAACTGTTTCCTCTTCTTTTCTTTATATAAGCACTTCTTGTTTCTGTGCAATAAATTGCAACTTTCCAAGGTTTTACATAATCTAAAGATTGGTGAAATGCTTAAAGGTCCACTCTGTATTTTCGTTTCTTTTTTTTTATGTTGGCCATTATGCGATTGGTCTTGGAATGTAACTAGGTTTTTAGGTACAGATGCCATTGTAGAAATATATCATTTATTCAGTAAGCAAGAGTCAAATAATCCGCCCTCATCAGGCAACCCACTCCATGTAAAATAAAACGGCTTATTTAGTACTACTGCTTTTTCATCTCATGATCATTTTAACCATAACCAAAAGTACTGTTTTAATGAGGGAAAATTACCATCGTTAAAACTGACAGATTACAGATCCATAGTTTTATTGAACCTAGTCCAGTAAAATGGATTTTGTGGGTGTTTAGCAGCTAAACTTTAGCTGCGTTCAACCAGAACCTTCATGACTATTGTTTTTTCATCATTGATATATTTTCAGCTTGTACTATGATTATGTTATGTTCGACTTTAATAAATTGGGATTTTGAGAAAGTGAACTTACTGTATGTTTACTATTTTTATACAGTTCTGAACACCAATTCTACATTTTTATAACAATAACACACAGAACAACTGTACTTTTTTTTAAAAAGATGAAATTAATGCTTTCATTCAGCAAAGACACATTAAATTGATTTCATTTAATAAATGATGTTCTTTTAAGCATTTTTTATTTTTATTTTAAGCAATTCATCAAAGAACCATGAAAAAAAATTGTTGCGGTTTCCACAAAAATATTAAGCAGCACAATGTCAATAATACACACACATTAATAATAATAAGAAATGTTTCTTGTGCACCAAATTTAAATGTTTATCTGTTGTACTCCTCCTCAGTTAGACTTTAACCCCTTAACTGTCATCCCCCATTTTTTAAAATAGGCATGCAGGTGCACTATCCAAACTTAAATGGTTGTAATTTATGAACACTTTGGAATACAGACATAAGGTTGGTCTCTTTAATCTCTTGAGATCTACAGCTTTTTTTATTTCAGATCTGAAAATGTGTTCATGCAGCAGCCTGCCCCTACCAGGAGAAATGATACATTGCTTAACTCTCAACATAGCTGCTGACCAAAAACCCGGAACTGGTAATGGACAGGGCTAGAAAAAGAAAGCGTTGCTTCAGCATCTGCGTCTTCAGTAATATTCTGGAAAACTGTGATCAACCTTCATGTTTAGATCTGAGAATGTTTTGATTTCAAAATTTTACACATGGTGACACATGGAAGCACTCTGAAAAACTGAAACACAATTGAAAATGAGTAGCTTGAAACTGTAACAGTCAAATAAAATCCTTATAACTGTATATTGTATTAGTAGGGGTGTAACAGTACACAAACATGACGGTTCAGTACATGGGTGATTCTTAGACTATGGGCACTTTTATGTTCTTTGGTCATATTTATAAAAATACATATAATTTTGGACAAATTCCTCTTTCTTAGTCAAACTAACAATAAAACCACCTTAAAAACTTGTTGGTCTCTTTTTAAAGAAGAAAATCAGCAGATTATCGCAAAAGTGAAAAAAAAGTTTAAAAAAAAAACATTAAGTATCAAAAAGTTATTACTGTAAAGAAAATGCACTATATTAATTTTATTTTATATATAATAAATATGTTACATAACAGGTTTTACTCTAAAATTGGTATAAAATTAAAGCCTTATGTCTAAATAAGTTATGTTCCAAATTTGAAGTTAATATAAAAAAATTTAGGTTCCTGTGAGATTTTATTTAGGGCGTTATACCACAAACAGCCACCGGGTGCCATTCAAACTCCATAAAAAAATTTTAATGCATTTTTCTGTCATACGGTTTGTCTTCAGGGTTTCGGTACAGCCCCCAAGCCGTTCAGGGGCACAATGGAGTCATTTTTGCACTGTCACAGCAAAAACGATCTCTGAGGCCTCCATTTTCTCAGCTTTCACTTGTTGTTGTTGTTGTAAGGCATCTAAAGTATAAAAACAAACAGGAAGTTAAAACTGCACAATGTTGTAAAACATTTGATTAATAGTAGTGTATGACTGAAAGTGGTGGGTCCTAATTATTTGGAAATGTGACTTAATAATGTACAACTAAATTAACGGCAAACTGTAATTTGATCAAATGTTTACATTCAAGTTAAAACACAGTGAATTCAAATGTAAGACTATTTAATTAATTTTAATATAGACATTTTAAGCACCGGCAGATATAATGGAGGACTGAATGGAAAAGCAAGGTGAAAAACTTAAAAGTAGATTATTAAATACAATTAAAAGGGCTTGACAGTTTAAGCATTTTACTTGCATTTGCAACTTAAAAGTGTGTGCAAACTATAGGAGTATGTGAATGTGAATAAAAAGTAGATCCCCACAAGTCATTAAAAAGTTTTAAATTCAGCTTTTTCCCCCTCCAAGTTTAAGGTCATATAAAGTCTTAAATATCTTTACATCTTATAACAAAGGCTTTAATTAATTTAAGAGGTCTTTGCAGAATTTGCAATATGGCTTGATGCAGTGTTACTCATTCATTAACTAGACCAGGGTTCCTCAAAACCAGTCTTGCAGGGCCACTGCTCTGAGTTTAGCTCCAACCCTAATTAAACACCTGAACAAGCTAATAAAAGTCTTTAGAGTAACTAGAAAATTACAGGTAAGTGAGTTTTGATCAGGGTTGGAGATGAACTCCAGATTTGAGGAACCGTGAACTACACTATATAGCCCGCCAGTCTAATCTGTCCTGCCACAGTCTCATAATGAACCAAAAAATATTTAACTTTTCTTTTTACTTAAATATATTTGAAGTTCTCTAACATTCTGTTCTGTGCCACTGCTTTGGCAAAGTATCTGTCAAAAAAACTAAAATCGAAAGTGAGATATGGCTTAGTGCACTCATCAAATTGCAAAAAGTCTGTGGCTAAAATAAGTGAGTACAAAGTCATAAAACAATACAGTAAACAGTAGAAAAAGTAAGTCTTATCTAATGAATATAAATTTTTCCTGAACTGAGGGACACAGATGATAGACTTAGTGTTTGGTTACAAAAGCATGAATCCATAAACACAACTTGCCTTGAGTAAACAGTCCAGGATGGTGATGGTGGTCTAATGTTGGGGGCAATTTTCTTTGCAGTGAAGCTGTTCATTCTTCCACAGCTTGCCATTGAGTTGAGTATGATGGAATGTTGTCCTAATAATGAAGATGCTGTGGTCATCAAAGTAGCATAAGATTGTTTTAAAGATATATTTTTTACAATTTACATTGCTTTACATAAAATGCATAATGTAGTCAATAAATGGTAACTTTAAGCACAATGTGGTAATAATGGCATTTTATGTTAATATAATAAAACTTATGACCAAGTTAATAGATAAAAATCATCTTGTTTTTCAATACTTGTAAGTGTTGACATGATGAGAATGAAGCAGAAAGTTCATGTTGTCGTTCTTGTGTCCTTTATATGTCTTTTTTTTACTGTTCTACTGCATGGAATTTTACATTTTTTTTTGCATACCAGTTTTTAAAGGGGTCCTATTATGCTTTTTCACTTTTTAAATTTTAGTCAGTGTGTAGTGTGTATGTTTGGGCATAAAAAAGATCTAGAAAGTTACAACTCTCAAAGTCCACTCCAAAGGGAGATATTTCGTTTTTAAAAAATCCCTTTTCAAGAACTACAACGAACGGCTCGTTTGGACTACAGCATTTGTTTTCCGGGCTTTGTGATATCACAAAGCGGCCCATTAGAATATCATTAAAAATAATTCCCGCCTACAGAAATCCGAATGGTTGGGGGGGGCGAGGTTGTGGTTAGAACGCTTGGTTGAGTGAGCGCATCAGACGAGACGATGAAGAAGAAGTGCTGCTGCAGAGTTAGTGCATCAGAGAAAACGAAGAAGAAGAGCTGCTGTGCTGTAGCGTCAAATTTTCGGCATGTCTAGAACAATTCTTACAAGTACAACACGACGTAGCTAGGCACCGCGGACAGACGCCGAACGGCGCCGCTGGTGTGCATACACTCATAGAAAATAATGTATTTGAATTTTAAAGATGTGGCGCGATGCGACGCTGCGCTTCTCGTCCGGTGTGCGACCGCCTGAAACGCTGTTTTTTTCACCTCCGTGCCCAAACGTCTTTGTTTGGGCTTCCGAAAGCGGATGATGTCAGGAAACAGTGGTTGCAATTTATTTTTTAACTCTGTTCCTGAGCATTATAACCCCAATTTGCTATTGTGTGCTGCGCATTTTACTGAGGACAGCTTCCACAACATGAGGAATAATGTAAATTATGTGAAAAATTATGCGTTTTTCGAACCACCAAGCATGAGAGCATGTTCTAGTACACCCCCAAAACAAAATCAAGACTTTGTAAAAGAGCATAATAGGACCCCTTTAAAGTAGCTCATTTTAAATTTGAGTAGTGCCAATAAAACAGTATATTACAAGTATGCATACATATTCAATGTACAATGACATTACAAAAATATTCATATATATATATATATATATATATATATATATGAAAGAAACAAACAAAAACAATGAATAAAATGAATGAATTAATTAAAATTTAGTTTAGAAAATCTGAGTGGGTATTAAGGCCATTGTATAAATACTTTTCTTTTTATAACTATGATATATGTTTTTTAAATATGTTAATTGATACATATCTTTAAGAAACAAAATATTAACATAGCTCAATATGATAATTTAACATGAATATGAAAATATACATGGCCTTAATATACATGGTTAATATACAATATACATATACATGGCCTTAATATACAAAATATACATGGTTTCTACTAAGAGTAGAAACAATTAAAGAATCCCAATGACTAATGCTGCCTTCACATGCTATCAGATTGTAATGGGGTGAACGAGACGAGAGGCGTGCGGATTCATATGCAAAGCTTTATTCTGAAACATGGACAAAACAGGCAAGAGTCGGACAACGGCAAACAGGTATTCAGAGGGCAAGACAGAAGAGTACTCAGGTAAACAGGCGTAGGTTGATCGATGGCGAACATAATCCAAAGGATGAGGCATGAGAGTAATCCACAGACAGATAATAAATCATACTTGTCAACCCTCCCGTTTTTCCCGGGATTCTCCCGTATTTTACCGTTCTATCCCGCTATCATCCCGTTTAAATATTTTCCTGTATTTCTCCCGTATTTTTTATCTTTCTATTAAAAAAAAATCCCACTGGGCGTATTTTATATGTTTGCTACATTTGCTTCCGGTAAAACTCCCATAATTTGTATGGGCCAAAGCTCATTATATGAATAATCACGACAACAAATTCCAAGGTTGCCCAGTTGCCAGATCTTGTATGAAACATATCTTTCTCACACGATCGACGCATACAAATTTCAACCCATTTGTCCCCTCAACTTGGCAACCTACAGCCCACTGATGCTATATGTGCGCAGGGAGTACCTGGAAACAATGATCACTGGTAGAAATGGGAGGAGAAGAAGGTGGTGCTCCAGTGAAAAAAAAACTA